CGAAATGAGGTACAACCCACTCGAAAAAAATGTAAAATGGGGGAATTCCTTTCTTTGCCGTCCAAAGCAAGTCAATCAAAGCTCATACGAAGGTTGGTGGGGCTAATAAATAAGTCGAAAATGTGATATCAATAAGAATAAGGAGTTGAAATTAGAAATATAGCGTGAGTGAAGCGCAATGATTAAACTGAATTCTAATGGAATCAACTAGGTAAGGTATAGGTGGAAGATTTAACAAAAAAGCTTTTAACCAAATCAATCACATAAAATGTTGAAAAAAAAGTTGGCAAAAGCTATCAGAGGCTGGTTATCTGTAATTCTTTAATTGCCAGTTGTGATTACATTACGAGAGAATCTCATTGGTTACTTCAATAAAGAAAGGTGATGAGCAATTCAGAATTATAGATCATGATGTAGCACGACGAAGTAATTGATTGTAAATCCAGTTATCTCCAAACAATTTTCACCAGAAAGCAAAGTAATAAAAGACATCGAAAAACAAGGAAGCAGTATGTAGATTCTAGATAGCAGGATGTAGAATGAGAAAAAATAATAGCACAATAAAAGCTAAAACAATAAAATAGTCCATGGAAATCAATTGATTGAACAACCATTCAAGTCCACAAAACTTTACAATATTGATTCACAAGAAAGTAAAAATGAAGAGTAGAGTTACACTTTTAACATCAAAACTAATTGCATTAATACAAAGAATAATCCTAATGAAACCAATTACACAATTAATTACGTTTTATAATAGTTAAGATGAACAATTAACAACGGAAAGAGGTGTGAGACTTACAGAATTAAAGTACTCTTATATTCACAGAAGAATGAAGACGTGGCAATCTTAAAGGCGAATGCGACTTATTTATAATGAAATATGACTGACTATATAAACAAGGACAGACAGATAATTCATATTATAAAAATAAAGACAGTATATGCTCACTCAGATATATAGCCACATAAATCACAAATTCCACGCCTATCGGGTTTGGGATTGAAACTTGAGAAGAAATCGGGTTCTGAGTTTACACTATGTATTCGGTGAAGGAATTCGGAACTAGAGTCTTCAGAAGATGGATATTCAGGTCGGGGTTGATGAGAGGGGGGTTGCTGATCTTGAGGAGCATTAGCATTGGCACGCCAACTCAAACCCATTTCGTAGTTTTCCTGTTTTAGATCCACCATGCTATAGACGCACAAAAGAATAGAGCAATTAAAGGTAAATATTAATTGAAAAACGTTAAAGAGCAAATGAAAGTGCTGGCACTAAAAAACGACAGCAGATGCTATTTGCAAATGAGCATAGCACATAAACAAACACATATTTAGATCCAATTCAAAAATCGCAAAAGCTATTTCAGCGAGTGCTTACACCTCGTAAACAAGGGGATTTCTTTTACGTCGGTAGCCCTGCATTTCGACTGCATGTGCCTATATGAGAAGTTGAGAAACGATGGTGCTAATTAAGACCATCCGATATTGATTAACAAAACCACACTATCAGCAGGCCAAATAAAAATGTCATGCATTATAAATCAATGAAAATCAATTCCAAGCAAGAATAACCCGAATGTTTTGGACATAAGTAGAATGCCAAGAACGTTTATTTAGGTAATATCGTATGTAATCGCTCGAAATAAAGTAATCAAAAGTGAGTTTACCCTAGTTTAATCATACAATCACGAAAATACAAAAATTTTCATTAAGAAATATATGAAAAAACATTACACGCACCACCAATCAAATTAACGATATGACGAACTAGATGTTTGCTCTTGTAAAAAATGCAAAAACAAAATTTTTAATAGTTCACTCTATAAATTAAATTTAAAAATTGATTTAAAGTTTAATATTTTGATATTTTATGTTCCGTATTTCTCAAAGTTTTACCTAACCTCGCGTTTTTATCTGTAGCATATTTTATTCCCATGAACATATATATAATTGCGTGTGTATATTTTGACCCATTTCATCTATCATTGCTGGTCCGATTCGAAAATTACATGAGCTTTTCCATTAACAATATATCAAAGTACGCTCTGATATGGCATAATGGAAGGAAATTATTTTGTGTCATTAAACATTGTATGGTGAGAAATTTTATCAAAACTTGCGCCTAGGCAAATATATTTAAACTTCGAAACATCTGAATACTATTAGACAAGTGGTAAAAACCAATGGCAGGCTGTAGATTGCGGTATTTATTGACGTTCCTGTTTGGTTTGATCGTTCCCAATCATCACTAGGAGGCATCAATAATTAAAGATGGTAGACATCACAAAATTAATGCTTTACACATAAAATATATACATGTATAAACAAAATGCTATGGCTTCTAGGTTGCTTCCATACTTATCAAGCTACATGAGTAATATAATTTATTTCTTCATTGAGGCCAGGTAAACTTGCCTTTTGCGAAGTTTCTACTAGCAGGAGTGTGTCTATAACTTCATTTTCAGTTAGAAAAAACTAAAAGTCCACATAAGGGTCTAGGCCTAGTATACTTTGGAAAATTATATGTCCATGTATTTTCATAACAAAAGAATAGTTCGCGTAAATCTAGAATTATTCTTCGTCCTCAAACATGCCTTAAAGTACCTAAAACAGGGTTATCAGGAAGCCAAGTGTAATTTTCAAGTTTAAGACAAGTGTTTATCTTGGGAGGCTGTAATAATCAACACTTTATTACGTGTTCGATAAAGTATTCTTATTCAAAACTCAGATCATTTTAATTTGACTCAAGTACTGACGCATTTCAGTTAACCATTTTATTCCTATATCTAAAATTAAATTTGCTTTGCCGACGCCAACTTTGTTCCTTGTGTGTTGCAATCCTTTTCCTTCTATATTTTATAAAATTTCGAATCATCCCATTTTTACACATCATTTTATCCTTCTGAAATACTTCACATTTAATAACTTAATCATATTTTTCGTAGTTTATAACGGTTTAACTGTTAAAAAATGGTGATTATCCTGCCTAATCTTAAAGCTTATTTTCATTTATTATTTAACGAATTTTTTTCCTTCATATTCTGAGAATGTTCATTACCACTTACATACTTTTTATTCCCAACACTTGTTGAATAATTCTATTTTGACATAATTGCTCAATTGATCCACATGCCGGGATTTACCAAAAACCTCCCAGTTAGGTTTAACGAAAAATCCCATCTCTTGAAACTATTTTTGGAACCCGTATTAGCGCCCATGGGCGATAATCCATAAGTATTCTATTTCAGCCAAGAAGAATATATATACATTTATGCCTGCGGGTGCTACTAGCGCTCTCATATTATACTCTCGGAAAGACTAATCAAGTATAGGAAAATTAAGCAACAGTATCAACTAGAGAAAGATTGTAAGACTGCATTTTAACTTTTAACCCCAAATAGCTGCTCATCCAAATAAGCCTCCACAGATAAGTGTGTATTAGGTTGGCAGGACATTCAGTAAACACCGGTAGTAGCTTTTTAACTATAGATTTCATTATTGACAAATAATTCCCTTTAATGGTTCTTAAATTTCATCCATTAAGTAAACAGAGTTGAAATATGCACAATGGTTTAAATATCTTTGCATTGATTTTGATATAGAAAGCAACAGTACATGAAAGTTAATACTGAAGTTAAATAAAATAATTTTCAAATTTTGTTGATTAATTTCAAATATTTACAATCTCTTTTAAACACGGAGATGAAAATAATTGATAATTACTTAATATAGCAAAAGTATAAGGTTAAATTTATTATACAGATTTTAAACAAAACTCTCAATTTGTGTATGACCTTAGCGCTGCGTTCGTCCTGCTAATTTTCCCCTGTTTTGGGTCGAATGGTGTCTGAATATAATCTCAAATATGTCTGTTTAAGGAAAGCCTACATACTTGGAATATGGGTTTTATGGTATGCATGTTCTTCATTCAGTACGTTGACAAATAAATCACTCCTATCGGTATTTCCATATCCCCTAACGACAACTACAAATCAATTATTTCACACTAGTATCTACGGCTTCTTTCTATCAAAGACCATCGGTTATCTATCAATTACCGAAATATTAGATGAAGCCAAATCCTTTTCAAAATCTTTTATTCTTTTGGGTTTCATAAATGGAGCTACAATTACTCTTTTCCATTTTGGATTATCCATCCTTTCTGCTGCCTATTTGCATACAAGTAAGTGTAACATAATCGTTAGTTAACAGAAACGAAGTCAAGATGACTGTTCCACTATTCGTTGTAATTTTTTCTCGCCTTGCTGGAAAGCAGTACACTTGCAAAGTATGCTTGTGTTCATTCAATAAATATAATTTTGTGCTTGATTCAAAGTAGCAATTTCTACCTTGTTTCAGACCTACCTAGCTTTACTTACTATTATCGCTGGTGTAATTTTAACTTCAAAAACTGAGGTTACTTTTACTGTTCCCGGCTTGGTTGTCGGCCTTCTTTCTACAATGGGCACTGCAGCTCTTAATGTCTATACGAAAACGGTAATTAATTAGTGGATAGGTAACAAGCACGAGGTTTATATATCTGTCAGCATTATTTCAGCATATTTCAAATCTTACAGGTTCTCAGTTGCTCCAATCTCCACATTAGTAATATCTTATTTGTGCTATCTGGCTCAAGTCTTTTGTGGATTTTGCCCATTTGGATCTTCGTTGATCTTCAAGTCATGCTGGGATCGGATAGAGGAGTATTGGTGAGTTTTCATTCCATTTCTACATTTCTACGCCTCTCATCTATAATCTTTCATCGAACTAAATTTTGTCCAATTTCTTACCTATTCGTAAGCTATCTTACGGCAGTTTGGAAAAGTTATTCTTTAGTATAAAATGGGGGCGGTGGTTCGTGGCTTGCTAGTTTCATTTTAATCATCATGATGTATGCAAGTACCAGGTGATTTGGTCCCGTTCATATTTAATAATAATAATAGTATATCACATGGAATCAATTGTTTAGATATTTCCTCGTTTTAAGATCTTTTCTGCCTGTAATTATAGCTTTTTTAATATTTTTAAGGTAATTTTTGTGAAATTTTCTTATAGAAGTGAAATCTTGTTATCAGTTTGATTATCTCCAACGATATATTTATTTCAAATGGCAGGCATTTTGATAGTTATCATTAGCCCTTTAGTTGACTTCGGGCTTCACAGAAGGGAGGAACATTAAAGTGAGAAAAATTCGACAGGGGGAAAGAAGAGCGATTCACAGATGTAACAGACAGACAGACAGACACGAAGGCAGAGAAAAGGCTAGATGAGTACTGTGGAAGGGGACGAATATGACATACAGCGGGGTTATGGAAGTTTGAAGTCAGAGGTGAACTGCCAGTTAATAGACTTTTTTGCTGTATGAGTAGGCGTTGCTCAGGGTTCACCACGTGGAGGTAAGTCTATCGCACACCCCGTCTTCAACGATAATATATTACCTAGACACCAAAGAGCATTCGAGGAGACAACTGACAACTATTTTGGAATTATTGAAATCCAGCACATCCACTGAGATCACTAGACATCTTTAGTTACAGCACGTGGGAAAACTGTGTTTAAAAGGGCGAGATAAAATTGTAAATAGGAAAGATTGTTATCTTGTTAGCTATTTACTGCTCTTAATAATTTCCTTTAGACTGCATGCATTTCTAAACATATTATGAGTAAACGCTTTTAATCAGTCAATCTTACATTTTTTGGGATTCAAATGTGTAAGATATTTGCAGTTTTTTTTAATCTGACCACCTTTATTTGCTAAATTTTATAAGGGGCTATTAATCATATATTTTCTACATTACTTTATTCTTTTTTTGAGAATATTCTTTAATTTTCTGCCCAATTCTCATCTTCTAATCCAAAATCCATTTTATGCCAAATAATTTAATGATAAAGATGCTTTATGTACAATTTTGGTTTAGATAACCACTGAAAGACTATTGATTTTTACCAGGGAGGCTCGCCTTCCACATTTATCATTGATCTGGCAATTATTTTTTTTTAATGTTCATATTTAATGAAATTAAACATATTTTTGTTTCAAATTATGGCATTTATTAATTTTTCTCTGCTCAATTTCCTCAGTATTCTCAAATTCAACGAGGTGGCTTCTATTTTTTGCTGGACGGTATCTTTCGATGTTCTCAAAATTTCTTGGCTATTATTATGTTGGCTCATCTTTCAGCTTTGAGTCATTCAGTCGCGGGTGTGGTGAAACGACTGTTTGTGATTTTAACGGCAATTGCCTTCTTTGCAACGCCTTCCTCTCCACTAACCTACTTTGGACTCAGTCTTGCGCTAGCTGGACTCCTGTGGTACAATTTGGTAAGCGAATCTCTCCATTGCTGATTGAAACGGTCATGCTGAAACAAGCTTGTGGCTGATATTATCCACAAGGCTTTTGCTTAGACTAGTGATGCATTGACGAATCGATTTGTCAGGCACGTCAGTTGTCAGTTGTGTACAACAGTGGGATGGATGGACTCTGAGTTGTTGCTGTTGCCATGTAATTTAAGGCTACATCACCACTGCTAAAACGGGTATAATCTAATCAATGCTAAATCAGGGTATTTATCAATGCAACTCCATGCCTCTAGCTGTTTTCTTTGGAGGTTGATAGCAGTTTGATCGGTGCCTGAATTTCATTTTGTATCTACGCTCCTAGAAACCACAAAAATCGGTAATCTAGTGCATAATGACTGAAATTTGTTTTGTTTCCCTCAAAAAACTAGTTCCCGCGTTCTACGAAGGTGAGTCAAAAATAATTTCTAAAGCAAATTCAATAATTGATTTATTAAGTGATTGCACTCCTTTTTCTACTTAGGCTCCATACTTGCCTATACACTTTTGTAATCTGTTTCCACCTGCAAATTCCCTGACACCATGAAATTACATGCTTTTACGCACCAGCCGTAAATCGGGTGCGCTTAAGGTGTTCTCTCAATTATGGGAACAAATATTTATTTATTTATTTCAAATGGCAGGCATTTTGATAGCTATCATTAGCCATTTAGCTGACTTAGGGCTTCACAGAGGGAAGATTCATCAAAGTAGCAGAAAGTCGAGGGGTGGGGAACAGAAGAGCGATTCACAGATGTAAAAGAGGCAGACAGACACAAAGGCAGAGAAAAGGTAAGGTGAGTACTGTGGAAGGGGTCGAATATGACATACAATGGGGGGTGATGATAGTTTGAAGTCAGAAGTCAAATACCGGTTAATAGACTTTTTTGCCGTATGAGTGCACCACGTGGAGGAACATATAAAGTCTGAGGGAGCTAGGTCGGGACCGTATAAGGAGGATGTAGAAGTGAGTTCCATCGAAATTCGCTCAAAAGGGCTCTGGCAGCTCTTGAAGAATGGTGCACATGCATTGTCATGATGGAATGAAACTTGACTGTACAGTTTCCTTCCCTCTTTAAATTGCACTTAATAATTTGTTGAGGGGTCTATTTTCTGTCCTTCTGGAAAGTCTATGTATCACTGCTTTTGAATTCCAAAAGTAGTGGAAATGACCTTCTCAGAGAAACTTTCAGCCTTGAACTTGACAAGCCTAGATGCTCTCTTTGGTTACCACTTTTACATTTTTGAATTTGGTTTTTTGTATCAATGTGGTAGATCCAGGTTTCATTTCCTGTAACACAGCGCTCAGAAAAAAAATTATCCTCATTTGCGTCCATCTTTGCCAAGACTTTCAATGGTAATTGAAAATGGCTGATCCACGTACGATTCCAACTTCATTGGCAACTTTCGTCAATTGTGTTCCACTAAGTTCTGCGCAAGAGAGGGGTTTTCATTACTTCGTTCTGTGGTGTGTCTCTCTCCTCTTGGGTCGCCACCAAGTTGGCACTCTCCCTTCTTTAAAGTGTTTAATCAAATTATAAATGACAACTCGAATGCCACTTACTTTGACGATTCGTATTACTGTCAATTAATTTCTACTGGCACCTTTGTCGTCAACCTTTTTATGCAGACATACTCTAGTTTCTCGTCAATCTATAAATTGTTCTATGTTCTAGACTTCTTTCAAATGCTCTAAAATTCGGTTCTTATTTATTTATTGCAAATTGCAGGCGTTTGGATAGTTATTATTAGCCCTGTAGCTGACTTCAAAGATGTAAAAGAGACAGACACAAAGGAAGAAAAAGGCGAGATGAGTACTGTGAAAATAGTCGAATATGATACACAATGGGGTGATGGTAGTTTGAAGTCAGAAGTCAACTGCCGGTTTATAAACTTTTTAGCCTTATGAGTATACGTTGCCCAGGGTGCACCATGTGGAGGTAAGTCTATCGCACTTCCCTAATTCAAATCATTTAATCCCCGTTTTAAGGCCAAATTGATCTGATTTTTCCTGCTATATTTTATTTTATTTTCTAGTTATGCTTAATTTAAACTTCACATTTTGTCAGAAAAATATTT